TATAATTAGATTTCAATCACCAAGCATGAAGGTTAAGGGACTATGAGAACACCACTCATGAAGTGCACTCTCATAACTTGGTAGAATGTGTAAAAAAAAAAACTAAAAATACAAAATGATGTGAACTGCACTGCCACTATATGGCAGAAGTTAAAAAAAAATCCAAAATCTGTATAGGGCGGATTGGATAAAAGACAACACTTCTATAATTTAATTGTAACTCGTCATGGAGGAGAATAATGATTGGCATTGGAGAGGTTGTAATGGTGCATAGAGGAGTTGAAATTGCACTACCTGGAATTGTAGATGGTTGCACGATGGACAGGAGTGGATAGGGGCTACTGTGGAAGTCTGTCAATAGATGCACATGGAGGAGTGGTAAGGGGCTGCTTAGGATGTTGTGATAATCCCGCATGGAGAGCGGTTATGCGCTACTGGGAAGTTGTACACGGTTGCCATAGGGACCTATAAATAGTGACCTCTTAAGTCCTACTGCGGAAGTGGAACAGCTCTATAAGCTTAGACCAAACACACCCTCTTAGTCACCAGCTCTCTTTTCACCGCTAAAAATATAAACTTAAATTTTAGACAAATACTAATTCGTTCAACTAGTGCCTACAAATATTAGAGATGAAACTAGTTTGTCACCAGTAAACTTTTAGATATTGCTGACTAATGTTACTAAACTAACTAGCGACAAGTCCATTTTATTTTGTGGAAACTTGAGGTCGATTAAAACATATCTGCTATGATAATTTTGTTTCTTCACTAAATGTATGTGCTGTGTGCATGTTAATACGATTTAAATTTTTATTCAAAAAAGATAACAAACAGTGATGAACTTTTTATGCTACCTAATAATTTCATAGGTAAAATAGAGATGATACACCGAATCGTCACTAATTTGTTATTAGTGAACAAAAATTAAGGTTGCAAAAAAAATATAAAACTTTTAGTGAGGAAACTATTTCGTAGCGAAAATATAACTAATTTTTAAGACGAACAATTATTTGTCACCAATTGTCTACAACATTAGTGACGAAACTAATTATCACCAATAATATTAATTTTGTGGTAATATTAATTAATAATTTTGCGCCAATTTATTTTTTTGTGGAGGAAACTTTAGTAGACAAATTTTGCTATAAATTTTATGTTTTGTCACTAAAGTATGTGCCTCGTGTATTTAAGGTACGAAATATAATTTTAGTGCACAAAAATGGATAATTCAGTGACAAATTTTCTATTGTAGCTATAATTTTCGTGGTTGAAAATCATATTTTGTTGTAGTGGCTTTCTAGTTGAAGCACTATATATTTAAGTGTTAGGGTTAGAAAGTAATAAATTATTATTTTAGTGATACACGTAATAATAGAAACTATAATCCAGCAGTTTTAATCGTATTTTTTTAGTATACTATGCGTATATTTTAGTTTAATTTCGTTTAATTGTATAGTATATATGTATATGAAGTATAAATTGCTCTTATGAAGAAGTAGTGATAGCATGCCATGTGTAATGTGAGAGGAAGCATGGGGAAGGTAAGAAATTAAACTAATGAGAGAGAATTGGAGGGGAAAAAATTAAATTAAAAAACAAATCTGCTTAAAGGGTATATCTGGAAAACGAAAATGCTATAAATATCATATTATGCCCTCAAAAGCCGAGTGCGAAGTTACCAATAATACCCCATTCTTGGAACATTTGGGCCATCCTTAGTTTGGCCAAATATATTTTCCGTATATATATAATATATATATATATATATATATATATATAATATATATAATTTGTTGGTACTTGTTAATACTACTATATTCATTTAATTTAATTTAAATAACCAAAAAGTTTGGGGCAAAACCCAAAAATTCAAGAAAAAAGTAAATCTCATTTATTTTCCTTATTAGTTCACATTTCCTAGGTAGTAAATGAGTTTTTTTGTATTAAAATGAGAGATAAAATCTCAAAATAAGATCCTTGCCCAAAGAGATGTGCCAAGTCATCTTTCTATTCCTATATAATAATATATATATATATTTATATATATATATATATATATATATATATATATATATGATTAATATATTAAT